TCTTCCTTGCTTTCTTCTACTGAAGCATTCCAATGCAATCTAGGCCTTAGTAAGCTAGGAGACCTATTCCCAAGATCTATTGGCCAACCAGAGGCCAGGAGTTCTCCATTCCTGTACATGCCATTGACCACAGTGGCCCCTGTCTTCTTTCAGCAGGGATCGTCAGTAGATCCCTGCAGAGAGCTGAGTGGAGTGGGATGGGATCTGTTGGCTGAGGTTGCAGGGGTTTCAGCCTACATGCATTCCTGAAGCTGGGTCCCTCGATTGAGCGCTGAGTGCCTGTCAACAACAGACCCCTGGGTAGGCCACTAGCAAATACAGTTGGGGTTGTTGGGCAACTTTTGGGAGGAATGAAAGACCCAAGCAAGTCCTGTTAACTGACTGAGCCACCATTAAATCTAGTTGGCTTAGGGGTACTTGGCTCTTTATGGCTCATTAATTATCATAATTGACATTTTGTTGCTGGGTCCTCCCCCTTTTTAATTCCCATCACTAGGAAACAGATGTAGATATCTGTGCCTGATTCTCTCGGCCTTCTCACTGTCATGCAAGATCAAAGATCCAGTAGGTTCTATTAATTCCACCCACTACTTCCTTATGTCGTTACTATGTTGAGCTTGAGAGATAGTAGAAACTGCAGATGCTGGAAAATCTGAGACAACAAGGTGTAGAGCTGGATGAACACAGCAGGTCAAGCAGCATCAGAGGAGCAGGAAAGCTGACGTTTCTAGGGTCTAGGCCCGAAACGTCAGCTTTCCTGCTCCTCTGATGCTGCTCGATCTGCTGTGTTCATCCAGCTCTACACCTTGTTATCCCACTATGTTGAGCTTGCTGTGTAAGTTACTGGTTGCTTTGGGTGAAGGAACCGAATGCAATACATTCAGGTTTACTGACAATATGATGTTAGGTAGGAAGAAAGCTGTGAAGAGGACACAAAGGGCTAAATTTTCCCAGCCCTAGGGTAGCAGACTTGGAGAGTGGGGATTTAAAAATGGAGAGAGCCACGTCAGGATATACTCTCATGAATTCCCGCTAGCAGGAAACCTTCCCAAAAGTCAGCTGGAAAGTATATCAGCTGCCTGCATCATGAAGGTGAACCATTAATTAACATTTTTAAAGCCCCATTTGGGACATTTTTCCATCCTGAATGGCAATTTGCTGTGGACAAATGCCCCTTGCTCATTGCTCCTCTGCCTGGACAGGCAGGTATATCAATGGCTGCAGCCTTCATGCCAATCCTAGAGGCTGTTGATGACAGAGGATCCATAATCCAATGGTGCAGCCTTGGACAGGAATTCTAAAACAGAGATTTTCCCTCTGTTCTGAGGGATCTAACTGCTTCTGTCCCCTTAATATTTTCTTTGCATCCTGTCCTCCAAAAGATATCTCCATATTGAGTTGATTTTGCGCTCTTTGATTTGTTTCAGCAGTGCCCAACTTTCCTGGTGGAAGCACAGGAGACTCAACTACTGCCAGTGCTCTGATGGACTGGTAGCTCTGAGAGCCCGCTTTTTGCCCACAACTGGGCAATTAGCATGGTAGTGACTAATTAGGAGGCAAACATCAGAAGAGGGTGCCACCAGTCCCAACACCAGACAAAAGAATTTGCAAAGGGCTATGAGTAGGCTTAGTGAGTGAGCATGACAGTGGTCTGTATAGTATGGGGAAATATGAGGTTATTCACTTTGGCAGGGAGAATAGAAAATAGAATATTTTCAACATGTTGAGCAACTATTATATGTTGATACTTAGAGGGATTTGGGTGACCTTACACAAGAGCTACAGAAGGTTTACATGCAAGCATGGTAAGCAATTAGGAAGGAAAATGTCACGCTGACCTTTAGTGTAAGGTGGTTGAAGTGCAAATATAAGGAAGTTTTACTTTAATTGTACAGGGCTTGGTGAGATCTATGCAGTTTCAGTTAACTGTGACAAGCCAAATCTATATAGGGCCTTTAAGCTCTCAAAGTATTTTGTAGGTGTATTATAAAACAAAACATTACAGTGAGGCACATACTGTTATAGAATTGCACAGCATGGAAACAGACCTTTCGGTTCAACTCATCTATGCCGACAAGATAACCTAAATTAATCTAGTCCCATTTACCAGCATTTGGCCCATATCCCTCTAAACCCTTCCTATTCATACATCCATCCAGATGTCTTTTAAATATTGTAATTATACCAGCCTTCACTACTTCATCTGGCAGCTCATTGCATACACGCACCACCCTCTGCATGAAAAAATTGTCCCTTAGATCCCTTTTAAATCTTTCCCCTCTCACCTTAAATCTAGCCCTCTAGTTTTGGACTCCACTACCCTGGGAAAAAGACTTTGGCTATTCATCCTTTCCATGCTCCTCATGATTTTATAAACCTCTATAAGGTCATCCCTCAACCTCCCACGCTCCAGGGGGAATAGCCCCAGCCTATTCAGCCTCTCTTTATAGTCCAAACCCTATAACCCTGGCAAATATTTTCTGCACCCTTTTAAGTTTAACAATATCTTTCCTATAGCAGGGAGATCAGAATTGAATGTAGCATTCTGCAAGTGGCCTAACCAACATCCTGTACAGCTGCAACCTGACATCCCATTTCTTATACTCAATGCACTGACCAATAAAGGCAACGTACCAAACGTCTTCTTCACTACCCTGTCTACCTTTGACTCCATTTTCAAGGAACTATGAGCCTGCACTCCAAGGTCTCTTTGTTCGGCAACCCTCCTTAGGGCCTACTGTTATGTTGTTCGATGACCAAAAGCTTGGGCAAAGAGATACATTTTAAGAGTGTTTTAAAGGAGAAAAGTAAGGTCCAGAAAAAGTATGGATCATATTCCAGAGCTTAAGGTCCAGGCAGCTGAAGGCATGGCCACCAATGATGTAGTGATTAAAATTGAAGGTGCTCGAGATCAAAGAATTAAAGGAGTACATATATCTTGGAATTGTGTGGCTGGAAGAAATTAGAAAGACAGGGAGGAGAGAGGCGATTGAGGAATAGAAAACCTAGGTTCACCTGGTTAATACCTGGAATAAGAGAATTGTTGTATGAGGAAAAGTCACTTAGGATGTGCCTATACTCTCTGGAATCTAGAAGAATTAAGAGGGGTGATGAAGTAAGATTCTCAATGGAAACAGAAAGTGCTGGAGAAACTCAGCAGGTCTGGCAGCATCTGCAGAGAAAAATATAGATTATTTCAAGTTCAGAGGAGGGTCAATGGACTTGAAGCATTAGCTCTTTTTTTCTTTCTACAGATGATACCAGACGTGCTGAGTTTCTCTAGCACTTTCTAGTTTTGTTTCACATTTCCAGTAACTGCAGTTCTTTGTTTTTATACCAAGGTTCTGAGTGGGTTTAATAGGGTAGATGATAAGAGACAGTTTCCCTTACAAAATAGTCAGGGTCCACATGGACTGAGTTCAGGAGAAATTACTTTACTGAAAGGGTTATGAATCTTTGGAATTCTGTATTCTAGAAGGAGGTGGATGATCAGTCTTTTTGAGTATATTTCAGACTGAGATTGATATCATTTTAGACTTAAACGGGATCAATATGGAATTAGGTGGGAAAGTACTGGTTGAGTATCAGCCATATTCCGTGATGGAGCAGTTTGAAACTGAATGGTGTCTCCTGCTGTTTATTTCTTATTTTACTCAGGTTATGCGAAGAACCATATAAGGGAACATAATTATTTTAGAACAAAATCATGGTGCACAATGTTTTTGTTTGAATATTGTTAAGCCTACACACGTTAATGATGTGTTCAATACACAATTGAAAATTGATTATTATAATTGTTGCATATATGTTTTAAGCACCAAAACATTTCCTTTTTAAGCCAGCCTCCTGAAAAAAAACTGAATAGTATTCTCCTCTCCATATGTTTCTACCTTGTTTTCTTCCTTCACTATTATCTCATGTTCTTCACTTACATTTCTTGGTCCCTGTTTGACTTTTGCCTTATTCCTTGCCTTTTCTCACATTTCTCTCCTGCTCACACCATTTCTCATGCCCTTGTGTTCTCCCCATTGTTTCCTAGCCCTTCAGTCTCATCTTTACTCTTGTTCCTCCTTCTCCATCTTCCACTCTTTTCCCTTCCTTTCTTTCTGTGTCTTTTCTCTGCTGTTTTGTCCTGTCCTTCTGTGTGGAGTATTGGTCACTTTCAAGTCATTTTCTTTATTTTTAATTTGTATATTCTGTACCTCTGATTTTTATTTCCGATGATTTTACTTTGAGTTTGGGTACAAAATGCAATGAGTACAATTAGATAGCAAAGTCTCACAATACTGAAAATTGCATAGTTGCAAGAATTTATGTAATCCCATTGTCTCAGTTCTTAATATTCTAAATAACATAACAAAGGGAAAAGTATGCAGTTTTCAGAAATGTAAGTGCGGAATAAGAACAAATAGTTAAATAATTGGAGTGATCATATAATCTAAGAATAACTACATATTGGTATCATCAATGAAAATGTTTACGTACATTTTTAGGTAGTTTTGCATAAGCATGTAACTTCTTCCAAACCTCTTTTTGGAATGTACTGTCAGGAAATACCTCAGTCACCAATCCCAGTTCACAAGCTTGAGCAGCAGTTAATTTCTTGTTGAACAAGAGAATTTCATTGGCCTAATGGGATCATAAAAATAACAAAACAGAGGACTTATATTCCCTTAATAATAGGTAGCTTCAGACTGACTAGTCACAGAACAACAAAAATACCTATAAGCAAGCCACGACATTGTAATCCATTTAATTAGCTCAAATTTTCAATATACGTATATGATTTACAAATTTTCAAAATTTGCAAATTAGTTTCTAAGCTTCTGCTAAAAACTGTTACTTATATTGTAATTCTTGGGGAAACATTCAAAATTATGATTTTGTAATGGAGACTATGATTTAAATATTTATATGTAAAAATATCATTTATTATAAGTTTGGACTTTTGAATTGATGACATATGGGTCTTTCTGTGTGAAGAGTTTAATGATTAACTTATGGATATTTTTGTAGCCACAGCGATTTCCTTTAAAACAGCTTGGACAGTTAGCTCACAGAATTATTAGGTTGTGTATACATCAGGGATGTTCAGGATCGAGCAAGGTAAACAATGTGCATCAAGGTTTCTGTTAGAAAATTCTGGATTTTTAAAAAAATTTAAGCTTACCCCTAGCTTGGATTTTTTTTTAAATTTCAGTTTTGGGTAGATCTGGAGAAGTCCAAGGATGAAGATTGATGGACAAAATAGTGCTCCTGAGAAGGGAGAGAAGATACCCAAACTAGATTACCCTAGAGTAGGGAGTTTAGTGAGAATCCTAGAACAGAAGTGTTTGGATAAAACCCTGAAGAAGTTACTTTAAACTAAGAATGTTTAAAATCAGGTGTGTGAAAGCTCCAGGAAAAGGTTAATGGGCTTTCCAGACTGGGAGTTTTTGAGGTGTTAGAAAAAGTGATTTTCTTTGGTGTGAGTACTGTAAACGGGATGCTTTTGGGTATTGTCAAGGACGTTTTGGGATCTATAAAAGGAATGTTTTGACAAAAATGGGATTATACTTCTAACCTTTGTTTTAAAATTTCAAATTATTGTGTATTTTCAAAGGTGTGTTATAAATAAATAGTCTGATCTATTTTATCTTCATTTCTTTTGCTTAATAAACTTGAGTTTTATTGTTAATATCAAACTTGCAACATTGTGTGTTTATGTTTCAATGAGAGATCACTGATTAAAACCAAGACAAAACAATATACGATCTATCAGACCAGGTTTCAGTCTGGAATCTGACTTGTGTAATAACATTAGCTGGGATCATAATAATTTGCATTACAGACAGCCACCAGAAAATTGTTACAGCAATCTGTCATACAACAATAACAGCTTCACTAGAGTGTATTGTACATTTGGTATAAAGGATGGTTTATATCTACATATTACCATTAGGAACATTTAAATCAAACCATGAGGATAGGAATTTGGCTTGTCACGTGGAATTTTACAATACAGAAACCAGTCCACCAGATTTATACTGTTATTTATGCTTCACACAAACCTCCTTCCATCTTATTCTATCAGCATATCCTTCAATTCCTTTCTGTCATGTACTTATCTAGCCACTGCTGTTGACGTAAAACATTTTGGCTGTGGTGTGTTCTCCTATAATTGAACACACTCCTCTGGGTCTTCCCATGAAGCTCTGTGCTATATGCCTCAAACATGTAGCAGCAAGTTCCATATTCTAACCAATATCATGTAGAAAAGTTGCTCCTGAATTCATTAAAAGGTATATTATTGATTATTCATGACAGCTGGGAAGCTTTTTTAAGGAGGGCCCACGACATCATTAATCAATCATCATCACTGTCTATTGTTGATTTGGAAAGGTTTGTATCTTTTCAAAAATTTATTCACAGAATTTGGGCATTGCTGGCTAGGCCAACATTTATTGCCCATCTCTAATTGCTCAGAAGCAGTTAAGCGTCAACCACATAGTTGTGGGTCTGGAGTCACATGTAGGCCAGAGCAGCATACCATCTTCCAAATGGTATGTTGGCCTTCATTGGAACAGCATCCAAGTACAGGAGCAGGATATCTTGCTGCAATTGTACTGGGCCTTGGTGAGACCACATCTTGAATATTATGAGCAGTTTTGATCTGCTTATCTGAGAAAGGACGTTCCAACTACAGAGGGGGTGCAATGAGGTTTACCAGACTGATTCTTGGGATGTCAGGACTGACTTATGAAGGGAACTGGATCTGCTAGGATTCTATTCACCAGAGTTTAGAAGAATGAGGGGGTATATCATACAAACCTATGAAATTCTACCAGTAAGTGTGGGAAGAATGTTCTCATTGACTGAGGAGTCCAGAACCAGGGGCTACAGGTTAAGGATACCAGGAAAACCATTTAGAGATGAACAGAAGTTTCTTCACCCAGAAAGTGATGAGCCTGTGGAATTCTCTTCCACAGAAAGTAGAACCGGGCAGAAACAGCAGCAGTGTCCTTTTGTTAGGGGCAGTATGGTGGCTTAGTGGTTAGTACTGCTGCCTCACAGTGCTAGGGACCCGTGTTCAATTCCACCCTTGGGTGACTGTCTGTGTGGAATTTGCACATTCTCCCCGTGTCTGTGTGGGTTTATTCGGTTTCCTCCCACAGTCCAAAGATGTGCAGGGTAGGTGGATTGGCCACGCTACATTGCCCATAGTGTCCAGGAATGTTTAAGTTAGGTGGGTTAGACATGGGAAATTGCAAGGGTAGGGGAATGGGTCTGGGTGGGATGCTCTTCAGAGCAGTGGTGTGAACTTGTTGGGCTGAATGGCCTGTTTCCACACTGCAGGGATTCTACGATTAAAATATTGAATGTTTTTAAGAAGGAGTTACATATAGTTCTTGGGGCTAAAGGAATCAAGTGGTACGGGGAGAAAGTTGGAATTGGGTACTGAGTTGGATGATCGGCCATGATCATATTGAATGGCATAGCAGACTCAAAGGGCTGAATGGTCTACTCCTATTTTCTGTTTTTATCATAGAGTGCTTCAAAGTTTTTGAGCTGTTCCTTTCAGACTGTCAGTAAAACAGAAATGCTGAAAATATTCAGCAGTACAGGCAGCATTTGTGGAGAGGATGTTTCATATTGGCGACCTTTTATCTAAATTATTTTCAGTATTCCTTGTTTTTATTCCTGATTTCCAGCATCAGCAGCATTTTATTTCTGTAGAAGTCCTTTCATGCTGTGTTTATATTATAATGACAACAATTAAGGTTTAGGAGATTACAAATTCAAATTTCACCATGGGGCAGGTTGTATGACTAAGTTCAAGAAACCTACCAGATAGAGCAAGAGCCAAAGACTCAGGAAATATATTCAGGAAAGGAATCTTGCTACCCCTTTCCCACTTTGATTTTCAAGCAAATTCACACTATGTCTGAAGTGGCCTTGCAAGGTATACATTTTCTCAGGGAAAATATGGATATGCAATAAACAAAACCATGTCAGTATCCTGAGAATAAATAATGAAAACATGTTCAAAGTTGAGTTTTCATTTACCATAATTCTTGGGGTACAGTTTACTCCATTTATTAAATTTCATAAAAGGTTGGGTGTGACAATAATGCTGACCACTTCTCCTGTGTCAATCTCACACAATTAAGTGAATATTTCATGTGAAATTCAATTAACAAGAAGTACAATAGAGATTTATGCACTCCTAAAGTTTATTTGGTTGAAATCTAAATGTAGTTACATATCAGTGAATGTGCAATTATTATACTAAATACATTACAATCAAGTTTGTCAGCATGATTGTCGATATGAATCATTAAGAAGTCTCAATAGCGAAATTTGCTACCCATACCTTGCTAGTACCCATTATCTTGGGGAAGGTGTAAGATGAGCAGCCTTCTGGACTTTGACCGAGTTTACTAAATGGCGCATGGAATGTGGCCTGTATTGAAACATAATAAAACAACACAGATTTGTTACATTGTCATACAACTCCAGCATTATTTATTATCTAAAAACAATTTTCCACAGAAAAGACGAGATTTCCTTTTAGCAAGGATAAAAATGATCAACCAGATGAGAGCATTTGATACGACTCACTTTATCAGTGGCATAGACGGCATCGAATAATCCTAAAACAGTGACAGCAACTCCAACAGCAGGACCATTAATTACACCAATCAATGGCTTTGGAAAATCAATGTAATGGCTTACATATCTCCTGTTGGAGGCAAATTTTAAACCATATCAGTTTATTCATGCACAGATTTCAAAAATATACAAATGTTGCAATAATTAAAAAGTCTTATGAAAACGATAAGTATTACTATTGTCAAATGTATTTCTTAATGACAAAAAAATCTTATGCTTACATTTTAAAAATATTATTCTAAGTCATAGAGTCATATAGCATGGAAACAGAGCCTTTGGTCCAACCAGTCCATGCTGAACATAATCCCAAACTTGTCCCACCTGCCCGCTCTTTCCAAACCTTTCCTATTCATATATCCATCCAAATGTCTTTTAAACGTTGTAATTGTACCTGCATCCACCACTTCATCAGGAAGTTCATTCCACACGCAAACCACCCTCTGTGTAAAAAATTTGCCTCTTAATGTGTTCCCAGTCATGAAATTCCCCATCATAGGGAAAAGACAAGTACCATCAACTCTATCTATACCTCTCATTATTTTATAAACTTCTATCAGGTCACCTCTCAACCTGCAATGCTCCGGTGAAAAATGTCTCAGCCTATCCAGCCTTACCCTATAACTCAAGCCCTCCATACCTGGCAACATCCTTGTAAATCTCTTCTGAACCCTCTCCAGCTTGGTAATATCTTTCCTATAACAGGGCGATTAGACCTGGACATAGTATTCCAGAAGAAGCCTCACCAATGTCCTGTACAACCTCAACATAAAGTCCCAACTCCAATACTCAAAGGACTGAGCAATGAAGGCAAGCGTGCCAAACGTCTTTTTAACCATCCAGTCTATATGTGATGCAAGCTTTAAAGAATTATGTACCTGCATCCCTCTGTTTTACAACATTACCCAAGGCCCTTCTATTAATTGTATAAGCCCTACCTTTGTTTGTTATAGCAAAATGCAATACCTCGCATTTATCCAGATTGAACTTCATCTGCAATTTTTCAGCCCATTGATCCATTTGATCAAGATCCCTTTGTAATCTTTGAAAACCTTCTTCACTGTCTATATGCCACCAATTTTGGTGTCATCCGCAACCTTACTAACCATGCCTTCTATATTCTCATCCAAATTATTTATATAAATAACAAAAGATGACCCAGAACCAATCCCTGTGGAACACTGATAGTCACAGGCCTACAGTCCAAAACACAACCCTCCACCACCCCTCGCTGTCTCCTGCTGTTAAGCCAATTATGTATACAATTGGCAAACTCACCTTGAATCCCATGTGACCTTATTAGTCTACCATGCGGAACCTTGTCAAAGACTTTACTAAAATCCAAATGAACAACATCTACTGCTCTGCCATCATCAACCTTTTTGGTAACTTTCTCAAAAAATTCAATCAAGTTTGTGAGACACAATTTTCCTCGCACAAAACTATGCTGACTATCCCTAATCAATTTTTGCCTCTCTCAATGTCCATTAATCCTGTCTTTTATAATCACCTCCATCAACTTACCTACAACCGAAGTCAGACTCACAAGTCTATAGTTCCCCGGTTTCTCCTTACAACCTTTCTTAAACAAAGGTACAACATTAGCCACCCTCCAGTCATCAGGCACCTCACCCGTAGTCATATATGATGCAAATATTTCTGCAAGGGGTCTTGTAATTTCCTCCCTTACTTCCCACAACATTCTGGGATACATTTGATCAGGTCCCAAGATTCATCCACGCTTTATATTCTCTAAGACCTCCCGAATTTCCTCTTCTGTAATATGAACTGTTTTTAAAACATCAAAGTTTATTTATCTGCATTCTCTAGACTCCATTTCTTTCTCCACAGAAAAAAATAAAGTGAAATATTCATTTAGTATCTCTCCCATCTCCTGGGGTTCAACACAAAGATGACCTCCTTGATCTTTAAGAGGCCCAACTCTCTCTCTAGTTACCCTCTTATTCTAAATGTATTTGTAGAATCTCTTTGGATTATCCTTAACTTTTTCTACCAATGCTATCTCATATCCCTTCTTTGCCTTCCTGATTTCTCTCCTAAAAATGCCCCTACACTCTTTATATTGATTAAGAGATACAATTGAACCAAGTTGTCAACATCTAAAAAAAGATTCTCTTTTATTCTTGACTAGAAGCTCAATATCTTTATTCATCCATTGTTCCTTAATCTTACCAGCCTTACCTTTCACTCTAAAAGGAACAAAATGCCTCTGAGCTCTTGCCATCACACCAGTGAACGCCTCCCACTTGTCAGGCGACCTTTTACCTGTGAACAATCTACTCCAATTAACTTTTGAAATTTCTTGTCTCATACTATTAAAATTTGCCTTACTCCAATTAAAAACTTTAACTTTTATGGAAGGCTTATTGTTTTCCATAACCATTTTGAAACTAATAGAATTATGATCGCTAGACCCAAAGTGTTCCCCCACTTTTACTTCAGTCGCCTACCCTGCCTTAGTTCCCAAAAGAAAGTCTAGTTTTGCTCCTTTTTGAGTAGGAGCATCCACTTATTGATAAAGAAAATTTTCTTGAGCACATTTGACAAATTCTTCACCATCCAAACCTTTAACACTATGGTAGTCTTAGTCAGTATTTGGAAAATTAAAATCCCCCATTATTACAATCTTATTATGCTCACATATATCTGAGATCTCCCTACATATTTGTTTCTCAATTACTCTGTTACTATTGGGGGCCTATAGTAGAATCCCATCAAAATGATCTTTCCTTTCTTATTTGTAATTTCTACCCATATATTTTCACTGGATGATTTTTCAGAAATATCTTTACAGCAGTAATGTATTCCTCAAACAAAAATGCCACCTCCCCCTCCTTTCTTGCCTCCTTTTCTATTCTTCTTATAGCATCTAAAACCAGGAATATTGAGCTGCCAGTCTTGTCCATTTCATAGCTAAGTTTCTGTAATAGTTATGACTTCCCAATCCCATGTTCTTAAACATACCCTGAGTTTGTCAGCCTTACCTGTAAGACCCCTTGTATTAAAATAAACGCAATTTAGTTCTTCAGAGTTACTACATACTCTGACTCTCTCGTCTTTCTTTTCTAATGGATGTGCTCTCCTCACATTCAGAACTTATCCCATCAATCCTTCCATTTACACTGCCACTTAGAATTCCTCCACTCGCCTTCTCTATCAGTATAAGGTCTCCCTTAATAGAATGAGCAAATCTCCCTGCTAAGATATTGGTCCCTTTCAAGTTTAGGTTTGGCCCATCTTTTTTGAACAGTCTTTTCTATCCCAAAAGACATTCCAATTGTCCAAAAACCTGAATCCCTGAACAATATGCCAGCTCTTCAGCCATCGATTTATCTCCATCAGCCTTTTGTTCTTTCCCTCGTTTGAGTTTGGCATTGTGAGTAAACCAGAAATTACTACTTTTAAGGTTTTTCTTTAATCTTCCACCTAACCTCTTAAATTCACTCTGTAATGCTTTAAATCTTTTCCCTAAAAATGTCATTCCTACCAACATATACAATAATCTCTGGCTTCTCATCTCACCTTTAACAATATGCTTGAAATGTTTAAAAACATTCTTAATCCTAGCACCAGGAAAGCAACAAACCATCCTAAATTTACACTCACTGCCACAGAATTGCCTGTCTGAGCCCTTGACAGGAGAGTCCCCTGTAACAATAGTTCTATTAAATCTTGTCAAACACTGCTTAACATAAGAGTCATTCCAAGTGTCCAATAACTGACTGGTTCTTCCATGTTCCTCAGAGAGACTATCCCTTTCAACTGTTCCAAAAAGTGAATAGCTATTTGATTGAGGAATAGCCATTGGAGACTTTTGAACTACCTTCTTATCTTTCCTGAAAGTCACCCATCCATTTGACTGATCCTGCTGGGTAATAACTTTTCTAAATCTACTAGCCATCTCTACTTTACATATGGCCTCAATAACATTAAGCCTACAAAAAAAGGATGCTTCAATAACACATATAAAATAAACTACCTTTCATTACCCACAGAAATAATGTTAAAATGAAAATAAATTAAAAATATATACATCAAACATATAAAAATGTAAATAAAATCAACCACTTAGCTGATTAACAGAATAAAAACGATTCTTCTGTAATAAACTCTTCGAAGAAAAAAAGAAATCTTCTCCAGAGCTGACCACATATAGGACTCTCCGGAACAAAAACATAACTTATTCCAAAAAAAACTGTTTGGTTACTTTTTGTAAAAGACATATAGACTTTTTTTAAATTTCTGAATTAAGAATAAATAAAACCTCAGCTGTTCACTGTAGACCCTTAAAAAAAGTTCTTAAAAAGTTTGTTTCAAAATAAATTGTGATTTATTTTGTTTGTTTTTTGAATGTTAATAAAATAAATTGGAAAAAATCTTATATTAGTAAACTAAAATGACTGTTGTAACTGTAAAACTGTAAAAAAACTATAATAAATCTTTAACTAAGATATTCTAATACATGACTGGTGGAAATCTGCAATAGATATTAAATATTGCAGCTCAATTAGATATATTTGTATGACAGAGGTGTCACTTTTCATGACAATATTTTAATAGTCACCCATCGCTTACTTCAGTAATTCTCCTGAATTCTTAGACTTCTGCTCTATTCCTTCTGGTCCAATATCAGTGAAGTTGGACAAATCATTCCCACTACAGTAATAATCACCATTACCTGCAGATAAAGAGACAGTTATAGTTCAAATTCATCTAGAAGGCTTTTAAATAATTATCTTCTTTAGATAAACAGCATTCAATATAGTGACACACAACAAATCATGAGAAAAGTTATAACTCATGGAATAAAAGGGACAGTAGCCATGTGGATACAAAATTACTGAGTGATGGGAAACAAACAGTGAGGGTCAACTGATAATTTTCATGATGTGGAGGTGCCGGTGTTGGACTGGGGTGGACAAGGTCAGAAATCACACGACAGTAGGTTATAGTCCAACAGGTTTATTTGAAAACACAAGCTTTTGGAGTCTTACTCCTTCTCCTTCTCTCTTACTGAGAGAGGTAGTATCAGACACAGAATTTAGAAGTAAAAAATCAAAGGGTCACACCATCGATGAGGATATTTGTAGAAACTTAATGTCTGTATTGATATGCGCGATCTTCTTGGAGATCCTCTCCCCTTTGAGCCGGCAGTTGGTGGTGTCGATGGTAGCTGAAGAAAGGTTTATAGTTGAGTTGCCTACATTTCCACAGCAATGTGGTTGACTCTTAACTGCCCTCTGGGCAATTAGGGATGGCCAATAAATCTGACCTAGCCATCAACACCTCATATCTTATGAATAAATACATTTCTGTATCTAGAGAGTGAATGTGTCATGTCTAGTTAACACATCAAATATGATAAACTGTTTATTTGTAATTGTTTAATTTGTTGTGAGCTTTGGGTGGTATTTGCAAGTTGGTGATCAATTCAAACAATTGAATGTAATTTCAATTCACTGTCTGGTTAGTTTCTGGTACTATAGTGAGCAATTGGTACCTTTGAATAAAAAATGGGAAATTTGTTTACCAGAGCCCAGATTTTCAGCAGTTCAGTGAGCTTCTGTGTTGTGGCTAAAATAGCAGAATCAGTTAGAAGTTTGAGGCCCAACCCCCACAAATGGCAGTTACTATTTTCACAAGGTTGGGAATAGCATCAATCCTGGATTCAAATGTGCACAATTTATGCAGGCAGCAGGCCATTTATTTTGTCAGCTGCCTTCACTCCTGCATGATTTTTGTGAGGTAGGAATCTGAAACCCAAAGTGTGCAGGTTAGACAAGGTCAAACCTTGTGGATTTGGGTGGACAACTGGGGAATACTTTGCAGAGTAAGTTACCCTGTTGGATCTGGTCCTTGGAAGCCTTTGGGAAAGGTAAGGTGCCATTTAGTGGAGGCATCCCTTTGGAAGAGGTCAGGTGTCCTTTGGGATTGTTACTTGTAAAAAATGCATAATTCATTGGTACTGTCAACCTGTCAAAGAATCTGTCAGAACTATCAAGACATTTAGAACACAGGGTCGCTTAATCAGTGGAAAAATGTCCGGAAAGTTAAAAATACATGAATGACTGCTTTCTATCTTACTCAATTGGTTGGCATCAGTCTAAGGATTTCCACTAATGGATTAGTGCTACATGACTGATTTCACATGGATCCATTATCACAGTGGAGTGCTGTCCATTTTACAGTCATGGGGGTGGATACAGGCCATGAGGTTGCATGAATGGCAGGGTGGAGAGAATGTGGGGGTGCAGGTGAAGACTGAAGGGATGTTTTATATTTTAGTCTTTGCTTTTAAACTTTGAACACGTTCTGGAGTCCCCAGGCAGACTGAGGAAGTTTGGACATATATTTCCATGGAGCTGGGAGTTCTCCTGACTCTCCATACCTAATCTAGGAATTTAAAAAAAAAGCCTAGAATTCTGTAACTCACCCATTTTTCTCTTGTCCTACACGTGATTGTAATTTAACATTTTTCACTAATATCAGCCAATCTCATCGTTTCTCTGAGAAATGATGATAACTTGAGATGCTTTCTGATGTTTAAAAAGATGCAGATGCAGAGAAAGAAAAGCACTAAAACAAAATTATCCTTTGTTTGCTATTTTGTGATCAGATATCACTAACCTATCCCAAATTGTCAGCATTTTCTTCAAGTTAATTACATAAATGAAAAGGGGCTCTATAGGATTTTGCCCAATGGTTGTGGGGGATTGGGGATTGATATCAAGAAACAGCTGAAGGCATTGGATCTGAATGTTCTGTATGTAGCGGTCATCGCGGTTGGGGCCAAATTGGGAAGGCTTGAATGTAGACTGCGGTCCATTGGGGATGATCCAGTTCCGTAGGCTGGTACTAAGAAAGGCAATGTAGCTGTAGTACCTAGTTTGCTTCAGGAGGTGGTCCAGCAGTTTCCGGGCCGAAGAGATTACAAGAGGGTTGCAGTGGGAGAGAGATCCACTGCGGTCTTTCCAGAGGGAGGAGGGTAACTTCTTCAAGGTAGGCATCCTTAGAACAGGCTTCGCAGTGGGGTTAAAAACTGATTCAGAGATAGTGGGAACTGCCGACGCTGGAGAATCTGAGATAACAAGGTGCAGAGCTGGACGAACACTGCAGGCCAGGCAGCATCAGAGGAGCAGGAAAGCTGACGTTTCGGGTCTGGACCCTTCTTCAGAAAATTTTCTGATAACATTGCACAATAGTACTAAAGATGTGTGCTCCAGAACTTGCTGTGCCCCTAGCCAAGTTGTTAAAGTAGAGCAGCACTGATATTTGACCGACAATGTGGAAAGTTGTCCCGGTATATCCTGTATTCAAAATGCAGGAACAAACCCAACCCATCCAATTACTGCTCTATCAGCTTACCTTTGATCATTAGCAAATTGTTGGAAGAGGTAGTTGATGGTGCTCAAAGAGAGAGTTGGACAGACAAAAGAGTTGATAACGATCTGGCTAGGAGGGTGAATAGCTGTTAATGGGGTCTGTTAGTGACTAACAATAGGTAGTATGTAATGGCAGGCTCTGTGATAATAAGGCCTGGTGTGTGGGTTAGGTGCTAGGACATGGGAGAGTTTAGGCCCTAAAATTATTGAACTCGATATGGAGTTCGGAGGGCTGCAGGGTTCCCAGGTGGAAAATGAGGTGTTGCTCTTCCAGCTTGCGCTGAGCTTTGCTGGAACACTGTAGCTAGCCTGAGACAGAGATGTTGACCAGGGAACAGGGTGGTGTGTTGAAGTGGCAGGCAACTGGAAACTCTCAGTCTTTTTTGTGAGCAGAACGTAGATGTTCTGTGAAGTTGTCACCCAGTCTACGTTTCGTTTCCTCAATGTACAGAGATCACATTGTGAGCAGCGAATGCAGTAAACTAGATTCTGGGAAGTGCGGGTGAAGTGTAGCTTTGCCTGGAAGGTATGTTTGGGCCCTTGCATACTGGGGAGGGAGGAGGTAAATGGGCAGGTGTTACACCTTCGCAGGTTGCAGGGGAAGGTGCCGTGAGACTGTGGGGATGTGTTGGGGGTGAAGAAAGAGTGGACCAGGGTGTCCCGGAGGAAATGGACCCTGCAGAAGGCAGACAAGGAAGGGGAGGAGAATGTGTGTCTGGTGGTGGCACCTCTCTGGAGGTGGCAGAAATGGCATCTGATGATCTTCTGAATGTGGATGCTGGTGGGATGGTAGGTAAGGACGAGTGGCATCCTATCGCTGTTGTTGGAGGGAAGAGAAGGGGTGAAGGTGGGAGTGCAGGAGATGGGTCAGACCTGGTTGAGGGCCCTGTCGACAATGGTGCTGGAGAAGACGTGGTAATTGTTGGAGGACAATCATTCCAGTCACAAAACATTATAGCAGGAATTCCTCAGGGTAGATAGTCTCTGATCAACCTGTTCAGGGATGTTATTACACCAGTGGTTTTCAACCGGTGAGCCACAACAAAGTGTGAAGTGTGCTGTGAAATTTCTAGGAAGCAGCACCGCTTACTTGAGAGTTGAAGTAGCATCTGTGCTTCTGGTCTCCTCCAGAGCCTTGGTGTCTACTATTGAAGGCAGTATCTGCTTACTTTGGTGTCTCTATCAACTGCACATGCACAAGCCTCCAGAACCATGATGTTTCTGAGCAATCAATTCAGCTGAAAAGGGTGCACGTGCCATGGAATTGTGTTTCATTGAAGCGTGTCTTGATACTGTAAAGGTGGGAACCACTGAATTATGCAACTCTGGAGGAGGTGGGTCTTGAACCTAGGACCTCTGGTCCAGAGGTAAGGGCACTACACTGCACGACAAGGGCACAAAGTTCCTAAAGGTATTGATCTAGCCCAACTATCTTCAGGTGCTTCACGAATGACCTTCTCTCCATTATAAGGTCAGAAGTGGGGATGTTTGTTGATGATTATACAATATTCAGCACCATTTATTATTCCTCAGATATTGTAATGATCTGTGTCCAAGTGCAGCAAGATTTGGACAACATCCAGATTTAGGCTGAACAGTCCCTCCAGCCCAATGACTGCAGTGAGTCAAGATGGCAGATCACTACCAAGTCAGACAGGGATGAACAATAAATGCTGGCCTAGCAAGCAATACCTACATTCCTTGAATGAATAATTTTTAAAAATGTATTTCTGATAGCAGATGAAACAATAGACATGTACCAAACCACACAGTACTAAGATCTAATGCAGGTCAGTGACAATTGTAAAAAATTTATAGCAGAGAATCTAGACCGCTGCCCAATTTTTATATTTTGCAAAATGTAACATTTGATGTTAATTCTGAATTTAAACTAAACTAAAGAAAGCTTAAGGTTATCATGCTCAAGTTCAGCTGAGACCTATCTCAATAGAAGTTCATTGCAATGGTTATGTCTCAATTTTTTTTAAGAAATGCTGCAGTGATAATGGTTTTCTTGATAAGTAAACCATTCAGAAATGTGCGAAATGAAAGCCTTGAAGTGATTACTGTGTGAGATATTTAGGGCACTGCTTCTCGTTTGTGGACTTCTTGATTCGTCCAATTGCTTTCAAAAGCTTCTTTGAACTTCTTGCACACCTCATTTAACTTTCTCTTGTGATTCCACAAAATGCCAGTAGCCATCCTCACCATTCACTGAATAAGTAAAATGGAATTCTGGCAAAGTTCTCTATCATAAAGTCATTTTGGTGTGGTCCGTGATGTGGTTCAGTCAAATCTGGATGAATCCTCATTCAGACATTGTGGTAAAAAAGTTGCCTATTTTAAACAAAATTAAATTTAGTTGTATAAAATGTCTAAAATATAAAAATGTAACATTGAAATATGGTAGCCTAGTAGATAGCTGGATTAGTAATGTAGAGGGGGAAGGGGAATAATTTACAGGTCTATGTAAAAAGAGCAGGATTAATTGGATAGCTGTACAAAGAACCAGAACAGGCACTAAAATGGATACTGGAGATCTGAAACAAAAACAGAAATAGCTGGCAAAACTCAGCAAGTCTGGCAGCATCTGAAGAAGACTCACAAGACTTGGAACGGGGCAGCATGGTTGCTCAGTGGTTAGCTATGCTGCCTCACAGCACCATGGTTCAGGGTTCGATTGAAACCTCAGGTGGCTGTCTGTGTGGAGTTTGTACATTCTCCCCGTGTCAGCGTGGGTTTCCTCCGGGACCTACAGTTTCCTCCCACAGTCCAAAGATGTGCAGGTTAGGTGAGTTGGCCATGCTAAATGGCCCACAGTGTCCAGCAATGTGCAGGCTGGGTGGATTAACCATGGGTAATCCAGGGTTAAAGGGACAGGGTAGTGGGGTGAGTCTGGGCGGAATGCTCTTTGGAGGATCAGTATGGACTCAGTAAGCCAAACAGCCTGCTTCCACACTGTAGGGATTGTAGGATTCTATGAAACATTACCTCTGCTTTCTTCCCACAGATGCTGCTAGACCTGCTGAATTTCGTCAGCCTTTTCTGTTTTTGTGCCATAATAGGCAAAATGGATTGAATGGAATCTTTCTAAGCTGTATTATTACACAATGATATGAATGGTGAAACTGAATTTGATTAATTTGGTAACTTATGAATAGTAGCCGAAAAATAACTATGAAAAATCTTTGGGTTATTGTAAAACAGAAATGGCTCACTAACATATTTCAGAAAATGAACCAGCAACTTCTCTGATCTGATCAACACGTGACATTGTTCCAGAAATAGGTACATGATTTTAATACCTTGTTGGCCTAGAAAACCATGGAGCTGTAAACAATAGCTGCAGAGCTGACAAGGAACTATTTGTCAACTATATTGACAATGAACTAGGCATTGCATCAGAATTGAATTAAGCCAACTCAAATAACCCTATAAAGTGCTCCTCACTAATATTTAGGAATTGATACCCTCGCTGTCCAAAAAACTTAAGTAACAGTCCAACAGACACACTCAGAATCATAACTCTCAACAATATAGACTCCATCACCAATCCTGGCCACATCTGATTATACAGA